AGAAATTCCTTGATTCTTATTTAAACTATATCCTATAAATTTAATTTAACCTTTGGATCATAATAACAAAAATTTAATAAGCAGGGGACATCTCTGGATTAATTTCATCAAGGTGCAACACTTATAATTAATACTATATTAATACCGTAAGCAAATCCCGAAATTAGCTTTATAGAATAAACAATATGAAACTCTCCCATGCAGTCATCTCCACTAATTAATTATTAAGAGATTAATCACATAAGCTCTGGATAATCCTTTAACTAACTAGGGGAATTAGCTAGCCAGATAAAAAATTCTAAAGACCCCAATAAATAATAAATAAATAAAAATGATAATTTTACATGATAATGAAAAGCCAAAAGCAATTACAATTTACAACCAATAAAACACGGCTCTAAATTAAATTAAAATAACTTCATGCACAAGAAATAAAATATATATACGAACTATATATATGTGCCATTTATTACTTCATCTTTTTGTTTTTTGTTTCCTTTTCTTTTTGATTAATTATTGGAAAAATCTTTTGTGGGCTAGCAAAATTCCATGAAATTAGGCGACATTTTATCACACGATATAGCTTTATTGCCGTCATTTTGACGGGCCATGTCCGTATAAAACATCTCTGCTTGATTTGCATGCAGTCTAATCTAAGGATATTGATTTGATTCTCATGATTTTAAAGATACAGGGGCTTAGTTAATATATTCCTTAAGTCGACATATTATGTTTTTTTATATAAATTTTGCATATTTCTATAAAAACAAATATCATATTTACATAGCTATGTGACAAAACATATGATATTTACTAGTATATGTATGCACTCATTTTTTAAAATAGTGTAATGAGTAGACTTGCCTAATCCTTAGACCGAGTCGGGCATGAATTTGTGTTTCTCACAAGAATTCTAATAAGAACAACATATTACCACAGTGAAGAAAGTAATTAATTATCTTTTATATATGTACTTTCTTTTGNATTCTTTTGATGATTATATTTTTTTTAGAATATGTGTTATTCATTTATTTTCACTTTTTTATCCTCAAACTCATCAATTTAACTTTAAAATAAAATTAAATGTAATTATACATTTTTTTTTTCTTCATAAAATATATTATTCATTCACTTACGAATTTTTTATTATAAGTTATCATTTACCTATATTTTTCACGATTTAAAAATATTTAATTCTTACATTGCAATCTAGTGAAATAATATTTTCGAAAAACAAAATATATAACATTCCATCTTTAAAATTTCGAGACTTGTATATGTCAGCATATTTCACTCTAGATGCAAAAAACAGTTGATGAATCGAATTAATTCAACAATACGCACAAAAAATTTCTTTTATTAACAAGGAGATTGAATGATTTTTTTAAATCCGAATATTATTAATTAAACGAATCAAAATTTGAAACTCCTCTATAAAAACTTCAAATTTCCACTTGAGAGAATATATAGTGTAATCACTTCCCATTATTTTGGTGCTAAACTCCAACATCCTTAGCCAACTTGTTTGAGATATGTCATAAATTAATAATTACGTAAATGAGGCAAAAGCAGAGATTATATGGATAAGGCACACCAAGTCTAGCAAAATACTTCATTAATTAGACAAACAGCACAATTTTTCTTTCTTTCACAAACATATTCAGTTAAAAGGTGTAAACGAGTTGAATTCAGCTCAAGCTTTAACTAATCAAACTCGAATCGTAACAAATATTCAGTTAAAAGGTGTAATTAAACAAGTTGAATTGAGCTCAAGTAACTAACCAAACTCGAGTCTTAACGAGTTGAGTTCACGAGCTACTCATTTAGTTTAAAATCTCTAATACTACACTTTTCTACATATATATACTGATGTGGGCAATTTTAATTTGAGATTATTCAATTAGGTTAATCTTACATGATAGAAATATCTAATTTTTCCTATGTTTTTATTTTTGAAAGGATAGAGCATAATCCAAATTTTTTCAATTATTCAAGAATCAATGAATTTGTGCTAGCATCCAAAGCAAAAGTTCTCACGCGCACAAGAACACACAATGAACGCATTAATATTTTTTTTCTCCAAATAACAAATAATTAAGCTCTTAACTTTCTCTAAGTGGACATTGAAAAGAAATTAAGAAAAACTAACATTTAAGTTAATTAATTAAACAAATTATCTGCAAGCAAAGTGCTATCTACGTACCCAAAAAAGATGGAATCAAATGAATACAGAGCTGAATATATTAACAAGCAATCAAAAAGCATGAAAAACAAGTGGATTATGATCAATGCCAATTAAAATATATTATTCAATTAAATATCAACTACTCTGCTTATGTTCTGTTTGTGTTGCTAACACGCCTACCAAATATGCGTAATTTGATTGATTGTCTTTTTTGTTAGACAAAAATCTATTCAACTTTTTGTGCATGAATGAATTAAAGCGTCATCATTTCAAGGAATATTATGAGCTATTTTATTTACATTCTTTTTTTTTATTTGTTTTCCACCCCCTAATAGATATTGTAATTATGGGTATTAGTAATAGGAATTGGGTTATTTAGGGTGTGAGTAGATATAAATATTTTCATATTCAAATTCAATCTCGAACTTAAAATCTAACTCAATTTAACTCAATTCAACTATCATCAATATAATTAAATAATATCAATCAACCATCCTTACAAATTATATCTAACTTTAATTTACTATTCATCCACTGACATAATTTTAACTAGCAATCACTTCCATTCATTTATCTCGTACTTTTATTTTAAATATTATTAATATAAACTTAAAATCTCACTAAAAAGTAACCAAACAAACATTTTTTTTAAACTTAACTATGGTTAATAAAATAAATAAATAAATAAATCAAATACCAATATATCTATATACACCTATGCCCTTAGTATCAATAAGATTACCACTAGGCAACTTAATTGACCGCGTGTCGTTACACGTCGAATTTGAATTTATAAATTTAACCTCGACTAACCCCTACTAACTAGTAGTAGTGGCGAGCAAGGGTCGATCCCACAGGGAATGTGGTATAAATTGTGATTTTATTATATTAATTAGATTAAACTAAAGTGGGGGGATTTGATTTAATACTAAACTACTAGCAAAACAAGAAAATAAAGTAAAACTAAAAATAAATGATAGGAATGCAAATGATGACGAAATCGAAAATAGCAAATAATCTAGTGAATATGAGAATGGAATTGGTTCCAGGTCTGTCTACACCCTCGAATAACTAGCTCAATTAATGCATTTATCAAATTTCACTCGTCTTCTAAAACTACCGGTCCTAGATAGCAATAAGCTCTGCTACCCGAATTTTTCCTTAATTTATACTTAATCGAAGTACGCTCTTCAATTAATTCTAACTAGCGAATAACTCGGAATAAGCTCTACTAATTTAACCCACTAGTCGCATTAAAATCTAGGAAAATAGACTGATCTAAGCCACAAACAAATAAGCTCGGTTCATGTACTTATGTTGTGTTATCCCTAACAATGCACGACTGTTAGTTGCTACAATTGAATTAAGAACTACGACAATTACGGATCGAAGCCTCAAGTCTAGCAATTAACATGCAATTCCTAACTTAGGTGATCAAGCTAAATTAAAAATCACACATTATGACATGAAACTAGAGTAACACAAACAATTTTATACGACAAGTAAAACGAAATAAATTGCATTAATCAAACATAGTCATCGAGGGTTCAACGTCCCTATAACTGAAATAGTGTTTAGCTACACATAGCTAAATGATAAAATAAAAATAAAAATTCATGTTCTCAAATCAAAATAAAGAGGAGAATCAAATAAATAAATCAATGTCAAACTCCTCAATAGTCCACGATTGGAAATTCTTCACAGCAAATAATTCCTGGTTGATCTCCAAGCCTTTTTCCCTATCTCACGTTCTGTTCTCTTCCAAAATAATTCCTCTCCATTTTTAATTCTTTCCAACTAATCCTAATCAACCAAATTGAGAGTCCTATGTAATTGGAATTCTCTACTCTCTTTTATTCCTTTTTCCACGTACACATATGCCTAAGGGAATTAAGAGTCCAACCTATAGCAAAATTCCAATCCCCTCAGCATGTCACGCAATCACCCACAAAACGAATTAATTTATTTCCTCCCTCAAACTCGGTCAGTGCAGCATTTTAATCCACATCATTATTTCTTCCACGTCACAAATATGAGTAATAGCTGCAAAATAGACACAAAATCAAATGTTGGTGTATGTCCGTTCACAAAATAAAATACGTGAGAAAACTTGTATAATACACTAAAATCTAATACTCAACTATGTGAATTAAATCACAAAATAATACAAGATTTCTTCATGTGTCACTAATTGTTAGATAATCATTCATAGGTGTACATATACTTTTAAACTCAAATGTCGTGATATAGGAAAAACAAAAAAACAACATTTATAAAGGTATAAAATTTGTATTTATGTTAAATATGTATAATAGGCCCACCTGTCTAACGGTTATGCAGTTTTACACAAACAAAAAGAAAAAATTGATTTATTATTTATCCTATTACATTCTAAATGAAATATATTCAGTTAATAAATGACCAAAATGCTCTTAAATTTAGGATCTTTCATTTTCAAGTTTATTAATTTCTCAACATAATAAGATAATCATAGTTACATGATTCACTCAGCACTACCAAAGCTCCATTGATAATTCAGATCGACAGGCGCCACGTGGAGCTCTAATCGCCCGTTTAAGGATACATTTACGCAGACGTAATCAGAATATTCAAATTTTGATTCATGCACTGAAGAAGATGACACAGTGCGAAATTACCAAAATGCCCCTCAAACAGGGGAGATTGCTTATAAATACAGCTTATTCTCTGCCCTGCATTTCCTTAGGACAAGAAAAACACAAGCTCTTAACCATTCTTTTCCTCTTCACTAAACACTCAAACCTTAGTGCAAGAAAATAAAAAATAAAAGGTATACCAAACAAGGGAAAAAAAAATGGAGGGAAAAGGGTTTTGCAGTTTTTTCGAGAATGCTAAGCCATACATAGCCATGGTCTGCTTGCAATTTGGTTATGCTGGGATGAACATAATTACCAAAGTGTCCCTCAACAGAGGCATGAGCCACTATGTGCTTGTGGTTTACAGGCATGCATTTGCCACTGCTGTTATTGCCCCTTTTGCCCTCGTGCTCGAAAGGTAATTTGTGTGCCGAACCGATTCTTAACTTTTTTCGAGTCGATATTTTTTAGTTGATTCTAAATATTAACATTTTTTTTTTTTGGCAGAAAAGTGAGGCCGAAGATTACGTTCAAGATCTTCATGCAGCTATTCGTGTTGGGACTTCTCGGGTGAGTTTCTTGATTTCTTTCTTTGAATAAACATAAAACGAATTCAAACTCGGTTAAAATCCTTCTCGGATTTTTCTTAATTTTAATTTTTTTTTTTAATTTTCTCGACAGGCCCGTAATAGATCAGAATTTCTACTACGCGGGGCTTAAATTCACGTCCCCAACCTTTTCGTGTGCCATGAGCAATATGCTCCCGGCTATGACATTCGTTATGGCTGTCCTCTGCAGGTATAAACAA